TAGAAAAAAAATATGAATAAGTTTATTTAGAAAACTTCTTCTCGAAAAAAGGCTAATTGAACGTAAAAATAGTTTCTCCTATAGTCCTAGTTTTGTACTTATATACTCTACAGTTTAAAATTTTGCATTTGAATACCCACGGCAAAGGAAATGCGCGAGACACTAAAATTTAGAAATTTTTAATTCTTAATTATTTGTTAAATTTACTACAAAACTATAACAATTCTATTTTAATCCTACATGAATTCTGTGTTTGTTGTGCCCTAGAAATAAATAAGTATATTAATCAACATTCAACTGGCTGACACGTGTCTCAAGCAGACTACACCCAAACTCGACCCAGACAGATAGGCCAATGCATCCCTTCTCGCCAGGCTGAGACAAACATCCCTTCTCGCCAGATCAAGACATGCGTCCCTTCTCTCCAGGCCAAGACGAAAGGTGTCCTTTCTCTCTAGGCCGAGAGAAGTGTCCCTTCTCGCTAGGCCAAGACTAGAGGCGTCCATTCTCGCTAGGTCGAGACAAAAGACATCCCTTCTCGCTAGGCCGAATCCAGAGGCATCCCTTCTTTTCAAGCCGAGTCGAAAGGAGTTGTCTCTTCTCACCATGCCAAGTCGTCCCTTCTCGCTAGGAGTCATCCAGTCTTGCCAAGCTGAGATGAAAGGCGGTCATTGTCAAATTCCTCACTGATAGCTAGTCGCCATCAAGTTAAATGCATGGTCAGAATTATCGTTGATCGAGCTCTAAAAGTCTTTATAACTCATCAGACTCTGTCAGCATCATGCTTCCCTTATCACCATCGCATTAATCACAAGGGTGACTCATGCTACCCACGGTCAACACCTGTAAAATATCTACCAACTGAGCCGCGCAATTGCCCCTCTATACCTTCTATAAATAGAGGCACTGTCTGATGCACATGGGTAAGCATTATTCTTGCTACTGAACACATTTGAACACTACTTCTCCACTCAATCACTTGACTGACTCGATCGTCGGAGGAATCACTGGAGATTCTTACTCTGATCCTCCCACGTGCTGTTTACATTCGTGAATGGATTGTCTACTCAGCAACCAACTGTCTAAAGAAGGCACCTAATACATTGATAATTCCATAGTTAACCTCATGTTTGATAAATTTCATCAATAGTTTGGCGCTCCCTGTGGGACCTCTTCATCTTTCTTTGAGGAAGTGGTCAATCCCTTGCCTTCGAACCTCGAAATTGAAAGCTGCCACTGCCAAGGCACGAAGTTCAATTTCTCTCGGACTCGGCCATCCGAATTCAAGCGAAAGAGGTAGCATTGTGCTATAGAAATAAGCAAGTATTAATCAACATTCAACTAGCAGACTACACCCCAACTCGATCCAGACAAACAGGTTGATGCGTCCATTCTGGCTAGGCCGAGACAAGCGTCCATTCTTGTCAGGCAGAGATATGTGTTCCTCTTCGCTAAGTTGAGATAGATGTCCCTTCTCTCTAGGCCGAGACGAAAGGTGTTCCTTCTCACCAGGATTAGATAGGCGTTCCCTTTGGCCAGGCCAAGTCCAGAGGCATCCATTCTCACCAAGCCAAGACGAAATGTGCCCCTTCTTGCCAGGCCAAGACCAGAGGCGTCCCTTTTTGCCAGACCGAGTTAAAAGTAGTCATCCCTTATCACCATGTTGAGTCCTCCCTTCTCGTCAGGAGCCGTCCTTTCTCGCTAATCCGAGATGAAAGGCGGTCATTCTCAAACCCCTTGATGACAGTAAGTCACCGTCACATTAAATACATGGTCGGAATCATCATTGCTTCAGCCCCAAAAGTCTTTATGACTCATCGAACTCTATCAGCACAATGCGTTCCTTGTCACTATCGCATTAATCACAAGGGTGACTCATGCCACCCATAGCTGATACTTGAAAAATATTTGCCAACTGAGCCGCTTGCTTAGACTCCGCCTAAATTATGCAATTGCCCCTCTAGACCTGCTATAAATAGAAGCAATGTCTGCTGCACAGGGGTAAGTAATATCCTTGCTACTAAACACATTTGAACCCTACTTCTCCACTCAATCACTTGACTGACTTGATCGTTGGACGAATCATCAGAGATCCCAACTCCGATCCTCTCACGTGCTGTTTACATGCAGGAATAGATTTTGGGCTCAGCAACCAACTGTGTAAAGAAGACTAAGGAACCCTAATACGCTGATAATTTCATAGTTAACCTCCTTTTTGATAACTTTCATCAACAGTTTTATAACATGGTTAGCTAACAACACGTTCTTAGATTTTACATTCGTCTCAGAAAACTCTTTGACTTTATTATTTCAAAATGTGAAATGAATTAAATATCATATTGAGAAAATACACATTTCATTTAAAACAAACCTCCCGATCGTAAAAAAATTTGAGCCGTTTACGACATCTTTCTCATCTCTTCTTTCTTTCTCTCTCCTTTTTCTTTTATTTGTGAAAAATTATCAAAATTTTTAATGGTTGATGAGGATCTTAACCATTTTAAGTTACATGCTTGTCACGGGGCATGATCTTCTTAACGTTGCTAGCTATGAGAGTTAAGCGAGAAAATTTCAAAGGGATTTCTTTACTTTTTAAAGTTAATGAATATATACAATACCTTTGTACTTAAAAAAGAGTTCACTCAAACTAAAATAGTTAAAAGTTCACTCAAACTAAAATCATTGAAGGATTTGCTGAGACAATCTTTATAGTTAAGAGGGTTTTTTAAACTAAGTCTTGTATTTAACACTCATCCTCCAAGATCATCTTCTCTCTCTCTCTCTCTCTCTCTCTCTCTCTCTCTCTCTTCGTTTTCCATTGGATAACATGGATTCGATGAATCATTCGTGCTTGGCGTTAGGGTCTGTTTGGTTCATTACATAGTAACCATTTTTTGGTGATTTCAAAGGAAAAAAAAAAATCAAAACATCATAAGTGGGGTCAATTTTTAATTCATTTTAGCTCATTTCCTCACAGAACAACCTGAAAATAGCTTTCTAGTTTTTACAGGACCCGGTGTATCATTATCATCTCTGA